TCTCCTACCCACCACCCATCATATGCACATCACAAATAGGTAGAATTCATACTCATATGCACATCACAGCCAAGTAGTATTCATATAAATGCGCACTTCACTAATACTGTACTGTATGTTGCTATATTAATCATGTGCACATAGCCAGATAGTCATATGGTACAGTATTCATATGCACATCATAACATTACTGAGGCAATGCATTTGTTCTGGAGACAAAGATATATTTGAAAGAAGCAATAATCATGTGAACTCTTGTAAAAAAGTAATACTTTTTAACATAGAAATTAATAGTAGTATTTTAATTAAAGACAAAATTAGGAATTAAGCAAGCAATGAATGTTTTCAAGTGCAGTAAACCAATATATGAGAAAGTAAGTAAAGTACAGTTGTAGTATTTGTAATGTAACATAGATCAAGGGAACCTAAGGTACCATCTACCATAGGAAAATATTAATAACAGTAAGACTGCAGACGTGTAGTATTGGAGGGATATCTGGTGTCCAATTTTTGGGGTAAGAAGTCTGCATGCTCTGCCTTATTAGGAAAAAAAAATGTATATATATAAATCTTTTCTTCTTTCAACACACCGGCCGTATCCCACCGAGTTGGGGCGGCTCAAAAGGAAAAACGAAAATTTCTCCTTTTACATTTAGTAATATATATACAGGAGAAGGGGTTACTAGCCCCTTGCGCCTGGCATTTTAGTCGCCTCTTACGACATGCATGGTTTACGGAGGAAGAATTCTGTTCCACTTCCCCATGGAGGTAAGAGGAAATAAACAAGAACAAGAACAAGAACTAGAAAGAAAATAGAAGAAAACCCAGAGGGGTATGTATATATATGCTTGTACATGTATGTGTAGTGTGACCTAAGTGTAAGTAGAAGTAGCAAGATGTACCTGAAATCTTGCATGTTTATGAGACAGAAAAAAGACACCAGCAATCCTACCATCATGTAAAACAATTACAGGTTTTCGTTTTACACTCACTTGGCAGGACGGTAGTACCTCCCTGGGTGGTTGCTGTCTACCAACCTACTACCTACAATATATATAAACAAACAAATATTGCAGCTGATCTAGTGGATGGTGATTTAAAATCAAAACTGGGAACACTGTTAGTTTTACTATAGCATTACTGAATAGGCATAATAGTAGGTTGGCAGAGAGCAGCAACTCTCCAGGGAGGTACACTACTACAGCTCTGTCATATGAATTGTAAACAGAATCTTCTTAAAGGTTTTGTACTCTTGTAGGATTTTTTATTTTTTTATTTTTTCTGTTTCTTGAACATGTAAGATGGCAAGTAAATCTTAGAAACCTCTGCATACATCTCTTATGCATTTTACTTTCTTGTGACAAGGTTAATACTATACATGTAGTTGTTATTCCTGTATTATCAGTTTTCTGATTTATGAGGCCCGATCTGATGCCAGGTCACTGATGGCAGTGATAATGACATTTAACCTTAGTTGACTGAATTTTGTAACTTTTGAGTATTGGTGCTAAATGGCAGTGGTTTTGTTAAGAGCTGCTGCCGAACATTTTAAAGTCAGGGTAGATAAAGTTTATTTTGCATTAGAATGCAACCCAATGTTACCAAGCTTATAAAATTTGTCAAGAGATAATTAAGAGGTAGTAGCTGAGGCTTTTGAAGGCTTAAAATAGCTAAAGTTTTTCCATTGAATGACAAGTTAGCAACAGACAGCGTATGGTTGAAAATTAAACAAAGATTAAATAAGATGAAAAACTGACATAACATAAATCTAGCCTTTCTTAATCTTGCCAAATCATACTTAACAAACCCTTGAATTAGGAAGTCTTGACCTAACTACACCAGTTTCAGCCTAAAAGTATAAACAAGCATAACTTTACCTAACCTATCCAAGTAAAGCTTAAAATTTACAGTATTTAGCCAAAATTATCCAATTCCATTTTTCACCTGCAGTTTTCTTATTCTGCAAATTTTGCATGTTTTTATCTTTCATGTAAGACCAGATGTTTACAGGATAATTCTACTGGCTAAAGTTTCTTTGTGACTGTTAGACATTAAATAATAACAATATAAAATGTGAACCTATGTTCTGAAGTGAACCTACGTTCTGAAGTGATTTGTCTCTGCAGTCATGTGTAGCTAACAAATCAATTCAATAATATTTTGTTTGACAGTATTTTACATATACAGTCATTCACCTACTAATTAATCTCTACAAAACCTGAGGTAGGTCTGATAAGCAAAATGTTGGATAACAAATTAAACCAAATGCAACCCCATGGTCGCAGTTGGTCAGTTGACTGATTTTATCTAACCTCAGAATTTCTGCCCTGCCAGATAATTTTGTTATTCATCCTTGGGTAGACCATAGATCAACTGCAGTGTTGAATAATTTTTTTTTTATTTGTCCTTGGGACTTGTCAGCAATGGTTACACAAATGAATAGGTTGGGTAAGCTGTGGTGAGATAATTGATAAATGACTTCTCAAATATATTTCAAAAATTAGTCATTATGCAAGAAATAGCTAACAATTGTACTAGTAGAGTACTTTTATGTACTCTGATGCATTTTGCACTTTGGTTTGATGCTAAATGCATTCTGTCTCATTTTTCTGCTGTTGTCCAGTAAAATGATCCGTAGTGTCTGTTTTGACATCTCGTAATACAACTCAGAATCAAATCAAAATCAAAATTAAAACTATTTCTTTGCTAAGGTTACAATGTGTGTTTACATTTCATAATTTGATTGGTATAAAGAAGGTCACTAACATGCCAAGGCATTTCGGGCAGACTTAGCCTAATATTTAAAGACTGCTTAAGTCTAGACAGGTGAAGAGTGGTAAATTCCAAATATCCAATATTTTACTCTGTCAAGACACTTATTTTTTTACTTGGGAACATTTGATTGGGCTCTGCACAGAGCCTCAATCTGGCCACAAATATCATACTTTTTAGGTTTTTATCCAATGAAATTGTTAAATCTAATTTCCCATCACATCTGGTATGATAGCCCGTGGCACCAGAATTAAACACATTTTTTTTTTTTTTTTTAGGATATGATTAGGAAATAAAGGGGATGATCATCTGTAGGTTAGCATGAGCTGACTGCCAGTATGGTGATGTCAGCAGTGTGTACTCATACTCTAGAAACATTAGGAGAAATGGTATTTTTATACATTCCAGGCATCTCTCACTTTATGCAGCATATGCATTCTTGGCCTATAGCAGCTGTAATAATTGCATTTACTTCTTCAACATTTAATTCTTCATTATAGGAATCTTCATTATCAGTTTGTTTTGTGAACTATACCATTTGTGGAGGGCGAATTGATATAGTATGTAGGGAATTATGGGTAGAAATGGGGAACACGTAAAGGTTTATTTACATATATTAAACCTGCATAAAGCAAGAGTTTAGTGTGCTATATTGTTTATGGAAAAGACTGCCATATAATTAAAATTGAGTTATATTACAGTTCATGAGAATTTAATACAAGAAAGAATAATAGCTGTAGTCAGTACACATACTAATACGTACTGTATATTGGATAAGCTATCATTAACTGTGTATTACAGGAATAATAATGAGACGCCATTTCCCATAATACAGGGTAGTTT